AATAATGAGAACATAATATGAAAACAGACTTGACCTTTTTAGAGACTGAAACATGAGTTGACAGTTTCAAAATGATCATATTTTATGAGACAATATAAACGCAAGGCAGGTTCATAAAAAATGATTCATGAAAACTGATGTCACTAAAAATGACCAGTGAGAACTCGCCTTTACTCGAATTTTTTCAGTGGCTGCGTGTATGAAGTAGGTACAATGACTGATTCAGTGTTACTAAAAGGAACAATGCTAGTTAAATAGATTCAGTTGGTTTAGATATCTATTATCCTTATGACAAAAATGTCATAGATGTGGGACAGGTAGTGGATATTAGCAGTGGATAGATAGGATGCTAGCAAAACTGGAAAATAATTAAAATTATTAAAAAAATTGAAAATGATTAGATTTCGAACCCAATTCTTTCAATATATCTTCAAAACTTGGAAAACTAAAAGAAAAAAAATACGTTCTTACACTTGCAGTGTCTATTTCCAAACTTGTCCATCCTCTGCTTACACAGTTTTTGTATTAATTTTTCAGCTAAAATATCAAAAATTGCACTACTACTACATACATATTGATCATCTTCACTGAGAATGTATTCTCACTGTTCATTATTGATATTCATTCAGTCATACTGAGTCAGTCAAACTTCTTCAGAGAGACTGACAGGTGAGAACCCACCTTGACTACTGACAGTGCTGACCATCCAACAAAAAAAAATATACAGCGTGGTAGATTTGCGTCCTTATATTATACAGGGTGGTCCGAACTGTATTCCGGAAACTTTGGCAGCATGTTCTGTAGATGAAAATAAGTAAAAAAAATTGTATAAATATATATCCTAAAATGCTTAGTTTTGGATATACAGGGTGTAGAAGTCTCATTGTTATTTCGATTTTTTTCAAATAAAAAATGAAATGAAAATTGGTGTCTGGGAGTATTTTAATATGAGAAATTTGGTCAGTGTGGCTCCTACTTTTAGAGGGCGCCACATACATATTTTTTAACTGGTTTGAAGTGTAATAACTTCGTACCTGTATAAAAATTCTGAGTAAAAAATATACATTTACAACGTTTTTAGGTAAAAAATGTCTCTTGGTAAAAATCGCTATGAGTAATGGTTCTCGAGATATTTCGAATCTAAATTATCAATACCTACCTGTCATCATTGAGATAAATTAAACATGTTGACTAAATAATTATTATACTGAAATAATTAATTTGAAATGTTTTTGTGCCAAAAGTTCAACAGAAACTGTTTTATCATCATTTTTTCGAAGAAAAATTTATGTTGTATTATTATAAATTATTGTTGTATATTATATATTATATTGTAATTTAAAAAAATTAAAAGTTCCCAAATTTATCACATTTCAGTATTTTTTGTCAATAATGACATGTATTGACTATTTCCATTCTAAATATGTTGAGAACGGTTGCTCGTAGCGATTTTTACCAAAACATATTTTTTACCTAAAAAATCACGGAAATGTATATTTTTTCACTCAGTAGTTTTATACAGGTACGGACGAAAAGTATTACTTTTCAAACCAGTTAAAAATATGTAGGTAGCGCCCTCTACAAGTAGGATTCATATTAATATCAAAATCAAATTTGTGACAAAAATATTTACAAAATTATTTGAAAAAAAAAACGAAATAAAAATCAAAATTCTACACCCTCTATCTCCGAAGCTAAGCATTTTAGGACATACATTTATACAAACTTTTTTACTTATTTTTATCTGCAGAATATGCTGCCAAAGTTTCCGGAATACAGTTCGGACCACACTGTATACAAAATGCAGGTTTAGGACCAGGAAATAAAAACCCTTTTTTTCTAAAGTTGCCGGCGTTTCGATGTATATTTTAGACTTCCTCGAGGCTATTTTTAGAAAACGTTTTTTTTGGTCACACGTAAATATGTAGTCGCTTATCTTTATTATTATCCTGATATTATGGATACAAACTATTACAAATGTTTTTTAATTGTACCCATACTATATATCGGGATAAGCCAATATTATATTATGTTTGCGTGTGACAAAAAAACTTTTTAGAAAAAAGTAGAAAATAACTTTTTTCTATCATCCCTTATGACTTAGGGGTATAAAAATTAGAAAACAACCTATTCTCAGACCTGCTAAATATACATATAAAATTTCATCAAAATCGGCTAAGCCGTTTCGGAGGATTATGGTAACTAAAACTGTGATACGCGAATTTTATATATTAGAAGATTAATTGAAAAAAGGTAAATAAAGAACGATAGGCATAGTCATTATTTAACGACGAATTCAACGGTCGAAATGATATGCCTACAGTATGTCCCCGAATTGTCTTTACAAGAGGAAAAACTTTTTTATTATTGACATTTTGAGAAAAATGCATTCTTCATAAACATTTTTGCTTGTTCTGCTAAAATGGTTAATCCAGTTTATACTTTTCCAAATTTCCATACCGTTCAAAAAAAAATTTAAAAAAAATATATAGATGAATTTTTTAAAGTCCTAAAAATCAAAACGCGTTTCTATGGTAATATAATTTAGATTTCATTCTTTGATAGATGGTTATTATTAATTTTGATTAACGTTATATTTTTTGCTGTTGTTATAGTTATTAACGTAATAAGGCCGATAAACAACAAATAACGGCCGGGCTGAAGTTTGTGATCCGAGGCGATAGCCGAGGATCATAAGCAGCCAAGGCCGTTATTTGTTATCGGCCGTGTTGCGTTCTAGATTTTTCGTCATACTGCAGATTTTTTAGAGCAATAAACACTACTATTTAATAACAAATTTTATTGAACAATAACACAAGTAAGGATAAAAATACATAATGTCTTATACTAAAATTCATTTTTCATGATAATGAACATGGAAATTAAAAAGTGCACTTGTTGTTCTTAGAAATCTGTAATCCTTCCCAGGGATTTACAGATTTTAGAGAAGAAGATGATGCTACTGAAGAATGGCAAATATTTGTATCCACTAAAGACACATTATTTTTGGAGCTATCATGAAAAAAGTTGATTTGTTATTTTCATTCTTTTGAAACTGATTTTCTATGTAAGTTTCTAAGCCACTGTTGAAGACTCCCCATCCTCCTAGCTCCTTTAGCGATAGTAAATCACCACCATTTTCGGCGAGCATGGTTGCTGATGATCTACGAAATGAATGCCCTGTATAACGTTCTGGATTCTCCAAGTTCAAAATTTTGTAATTTTCTTGCGGTACGCTCCCCGATGGTATGTATACCGACGATTTGCTTAACACACTTGCCTTTCTTGTAACCAATGAAAAATTTTGGATTGTCAAAGTTACGAGGACGCAGGTTGATGTATTTTGTATAAACCATAGGCATCAAACGGAAGGCCTGTTTTTGGAATAAGCAAGAAATTTCCTATCTTTCTTATTTTTAGTATTTCTTAATGAGACAAGAATATTTTTCTCCGAATCTTCGAAATCATCAACTGTGAGTGACCAAAGCTCGCTGCGCCTACAAGCTCAAAGAATACCAAGCACCAATACAATTTTTCGAGTAACCAGGTGTAATCATCGGCATCCAGTAGAAAATTATTTATGTCATTCCTCCGACAGAACTTTGGCTTTTTTTGGTGAATAACCTTCGTTTTTGCGCCTCAGAAACATGAACAGTTTACCAAATCTATGAACAAATATAATTTAGATGAGTGGCGATTAAATATCGAAGAATATAATGGCTTTTTTACCTTGATATGTCGATGTTTCATATACTCCCTCAACGCAAGCTTCAGCATGGATATCTTTGTCCACAGTGATGTAGGAGAATACATTTCAGACATTCTTTTAGCATAAGCCAGCAATACCGCTTCATTTACGCTGTTTATACTTCTATCCTGCCGCCACTTCAAAAAATTGTCATATTCCTGCTGATATCTCTCTCTGGTTATAGTCGGAAGTATAATTTTGAGTAGCCGCAGCCGCTTCCTCCTGTATTTCCAACGGAATTTCTCGCGACATCTCGCTATGGTCTATTTTCCCAATTTTTGAAAAGTCCAACTGACAATAAATAGTCATTGTTGCAGGTGACAGACGTTACGATTACCTTAGAAACTTAACGGCCGCCGGCCGTTATGATAACGTCCGGCGGACGTTATATGCATCTTTTCCATTCTGATTTTGCTTATGTTATAATAATATAACAATATAGTATGACGAAAAAGTATTAAAGTAGATATTATATAATATTCTCCGATAACTATTATCGGCCTTTCCGGAGCATTGAACTAAATAAATTTTGTGCTTCTTTAACATTTTAAGACAGAAAAATATGATTTTAATTAAAATTCTCTCAATAACAATCTGTCAAAGAATTAAAACGAAATTATATTACCACAGAAATGAGTTTTACTTTTTTACTTTACGCTTAAACTGTATTGAAATTTGGAAAAGTATAAACGGGAGTCAATAATAAAAAGTTTTTCCTTTTGTAAAGACAATCCGGGGACATACTGTAGACTAAGGGTTTTAACGGGCAACATGATATCAAATAAGAATGATGATTTTGCCTTCGAATTAATTTGTTTATATTATATCACTGTTGAGTTAAAAAAGTGACGATATCATTTGGTGATAAAAAAAAAGTGACGAAGGTATCATTTTCTATATAATAATTATTGTATTTCTATATTAGACTCGATTCAAAGAAGAAAAACAAATTTGTCAATACTAGTGTGCCTGCCTATCTTCAAAAATAACAAATTAAATAATTTCGAAGAAAAAACTAACAATGTTGCAACACAGCCAGAGAAGCTATAAGCGCGCAGCCGCCGCCCACCGCCCTTAGACGACGCTTGGCGCCGCCGCCACGGCCGCTCCCATTCCGCCCTCGCGCGCCGACCCGTCGCTACCGCGTCGCCCCTCTCGGAGCCCGAACCGCGCGAAAGAGCGACCACGATGCGCCCGGCAGGGGCGGGGCGACCGCCGGTCGCCCTTCTCGCCTGACCTCGTCACGGAGCCGCGATGCCACGAGTGCCGCCCCCGCAGGGTAGTTGAGGACCCCCGGAAGGGCCTTCCGGAGTCTCGAGAGTTACCCCACTAGTGACAGGGATGATTGCCGCCCTTGGACTGGGTCCCCACGTCAGCAGGTAATCATTCTTTACGTTATTTTATGTTAGGCGTGTTTCAAAATAAGGGGGAAAATGTTTTGGAGAAGTGTCTTATCTTATGCGGCTTAAATGTGCTCTTTGTACTATAGTCAGGTGACATTCATTCTTGTTTTTATTATTAATATTACTAAAATTCTGCTTTTTCTGACCTATTTAGACGCTGTTGTTTATACATAAACTAGTTTAACGTAGATAAACTAAGACTAAATCAAGTATAAACAATATTTTTATTATATACTTCAACATTTTGAAATAATATATTACAAAAACAAACAAAAATTAAAAAAAAAATATATAATCTACTAAAATATTATGCTTTTTCAATTACTCAATTATAATATACATCAATGAAGAGTTTGTATATACGCCCTTTTCTGAAGATTGAGGTTCTGTCACTTGACATTAGAACTTGTTATTGTTTGAAATATTACTAAACATTTACCATTTAATATTTTCTTTTTTACCAAGTATTTTTATTTTAATTAACACAATATATCAAGCATCTAAAGAATGTCTATTAACGCCCTTCACAGAATATTGAAGTTCTGTCAAATGACATTCGCTTCCTTTGTTGTTGTTAAATCTGCTAGAGATTTAATCTTCATGGTGTTGTTTATAAAGCTAATTTAATATAAGCGGTACTTTATTTAAGATGAGTTAATAAAATACTAAAACATTTTATAATATGAAGGGAATCTGGTCTTGATATAAACACGCCCTTTATGACATCGAGTCAGATGACATTCACTCTTGTTTTTGTTTTTATCATTGCTTAAATTATGGTATTTGATCTACTTAAACACCGTTGTACCGTATGATCGAATAAAAACGGCGTCAGCGATGGCTATGAAATGAAGATCGCTGTCATTTTATATGTAAATTTATATAGGAAATGCCATCGATCGTCATTTCCAAGCCAACTGGACGCCGTTTTTATTCGATCATACGGTATATTGCAAATACATTGTCAACTTAATATCTGTTGACTCACACTAAAACAAACATTTACTATTACTGAAAAATAAATGTGTCTCATATACTGAAAAATTATGCTTTTTAACACTTAATTATAATACATTAAACATTTCAACCTACTCTGTATATAGGCCTTTTTATAAAAAAAAAAGTTGTCACATCCCTTTCAAACTTGTTATTCGTTGAAATATTACTATACGTAATTATCATTCAGTGTTCTATAATTTACCAAACCTTATTTTAATTAAAAGATAAATTAAACATAACAATATTCGGTACTTATACACGCCCTTTACAGAATATTAAAGTTTTGTTAAGTTCTATTAGATGACATTTAGCTTCCTATGTGGTTATTATATCTACCTGAAATTTGATCTGGAATGTCTATTAACGCCCTTCACAAAATATTGAAGTTCTGTCAGATGACATTCGTTTCCTTTGTTATTGTTAAATCTGCTAGAGATTTAATCTTCATGGTGTTGCTTATGAAGTTAATTTAATATAAACGGTACTTTATTTAAGATGAGTTAATAAAATACTAAAACATTTTTTCAATATGAAGGGAATCTGGTCTTGATACAAACACGCCCTTTATGACATCGAGTCAGATGACATTCACTCTTGTATTTGTTTTTATCATTGCTGCACTTATCGTTTTTTGATCTACTTAAATACCGTTGTATATTGCAAATACATCGTCAGTTATCAACTTAATATCTTTTGACTCACACTAAAACAAAAATTTAATATTACTGAAGTATAATTCAGTCTCATACATTGAAATATTATGCTTTTTAACTTAATTATAATACATTAAACATTTCAACATACTCTGTATATAGGCCTTTTTGTAAAAATTGAAGTTTTGTCTCGTCTCTCTCGAACTTGTTTTTCGTTGAAATAACGTATTATCATTTAGTGTTTTGTAATTTACCAAACCTTATTTTAATTAAAAGATACAATAAACATAACAATATTAGGAATAGGCCCTTTACAGAATATTACAGTTCTGTGAAGTGGTATCAGATAACATTTAGCGTCCTATGTGGTTATTAAATCTACCAGAAATTTGATCTGCATAGTGTTGCTTAATACGTTAATTTAATATAAATAATACCTTGTTTAAAGATGAGTCAATAAAATACCAAATCACTGTTTAATATAGAATGGATTAATTTTGAATTGACATAAACACGCCCTTTATGACTTCAAGCCAAGTAACATTTATTTGTGTTTTTGTTTTTAACATTACGGTTTTTGTTATTTTATGTTAGGCGTATTTCAAAAAAGGGGAAATATGTTTAAAGAAGTGTCTTATCTTGTGTGGCTTAATCTTTATACTATATAGTCAGTTGATATTCTTTCTTGTTTTTGTTCTGAATATTACTAAAATTCTGCTTTTTCTGACCTATTTAGATGCTGTTGTTTATACATAAACTAGTTTAACGCGGATAAAGTAAGACTAAATCAAGTATAAACAATATTTTTATTAAATACTTCAACATTTTGAAATAATATATTACAAAAAGACAAAAATAAAATAAAAAAATATATCATACACTAAAATATTATATTTTTTCAATTATTCACTTATAATATACATCAATCAAAGAGTTTGTATATACGCCCTTTCTCTGAACATTGAGGTTCTGTCAGATGACATTCGAACTTGTTATTGTTTGAAATATTACTAAAGATTTACCATTTAATATTTTCTTTTTAACCAAGTAGTTTTATTTTAATTAATACAATATGTCAAAGCAACTAAAGAATGTCTATTAACGCCCTTCACTGAATATTGAAGTTCTGTCAAATGACATTCGCTTCCTCTGTTGTTGTTAAATCTGCTAGAGATTTAATCTTCATGGTGTTGTTTATAAAGCTAATTTAATATAAGCGGTACTTTATTTAAGATGAGTTAATAAAATACTAAAACATTTTATAATATGAAGGGAATCTGATCTTGATATAAACACGCCCTTTATGACATCGAGTCAGATGACATTCACTTTTGTTTTTGTTTTTATCATTGCTGCAATTATGGTTTTTGATCTACTTAAACACCGTTGTATATTGCAAATACATCGTCAATTATCAACTTAATATCTGTTGACTCACACTAAAACAAACATTTACCATTACTGACAAATAAATGTGTCTCATATCCTGAAAAATTATGCTTTTTAACACTTAATTATAATACATTAAACATTTCAACCTACTCTGCATATAGGCCTTTTTCTAAAAAAAAGTTGTCACATCTCTTTCGAACTTGTTATTCGTTGAAATATTGCTATACGTAATTATCATTCAGTGTTCTGTAATTTACCAAACCTTACTCTAATTAAAAGATAAATTAAACATAACAATATTCGGTACTTATACACGCCCTTTACAGAATATTAAAGTTTTGTGAAGTTCTATTAGATGACATTTAGCTTCCTATGTGGTTATTATATCTACCTGAAATTTGATCTGCATACTGTAGCTTAATAAGTTAATTTAATGGAAATGATACCTTGTTTAAAGATGAGTTAATAATATACCAAATCACTGTTTAACATAGAATGGATCTTGTCTTGACATAAACACGCCCTTTATGACTTCAAGCCAAGTAACATTTATTTGTGTTTTTGTTTTTAACATTACGGTTTTTGTTATTTTATGTTAGGTGTATTTCAAATAAGAGAAAAAATGTTTTAAAGAAGTGTTTTTAATCTTGTGTGGTTTAAATAATGTGTTCTTTATACTACAGTCAGGTGACATTCTTTCTTGTTTTTATTCTTAATATTACTGAAATTCTGCTTTTTCTGACCTATTTAGATGCTGTTATTTAAACAAAAAAAATAGTTTAACGCGGATAAACTAAGATTAAATCAAGTATAAACAATATTTTTATTATATACTTCAACATTTTGAATTAATATATTACAAAAATAGACAAAAAAATCAAAAAATATATGTCTCAGACCAAAATATTATGCTTTTTCAATTATTCAATTATAATATACATCAATCAAGAGATTGTATATACGCCCTTTTCTGAACATTGAGGCTTTGTTTCATGACATTCGAACATGTTATTGTTTAAAATATTAATAAACATTTACCATTCAATATTTTCTTTTTAACCAACTATTTTTATTTTAATTAACAAAATATATCAAACATCTAAGGAATGTCTATTAACGCCCTTCACAGACTATTGAAGTTCTGTCAAATGACATTCGTTTCCTTTGTTATTGTTAAATCTGCTAGAGATTTAATCTTCATGGTGTTGCTTATGAAGTTAATTTAATATAAACGGTACTTTATTTAAGATGAGTTAATAAAATACTAAAACATTTTTTCAATATGGAGGGAATCTGGTCTTGATACAAACACGCCCTTTATGACATCGAGTCAGATGACATTCACTCTTGTATTTGTTTTTATCATTGCTGCACTTATCGTTTTTTGATCTACTTAAATACCGTTGTATACTGCAAATACATCGTCAGTTATCAACTTAATATCTTTTAACTCACACTAAAACAAAAATTTAATATTACTGAAGTATAATTGTGTCTCATACATTGAAATATTATGCTTTTTAACTTAATTATAATACATTAAACATTTCAACATACTCTGTATATAGGCCTTTTTGTAAAAATTGAAGTTTTGTCAGGTCTCTCTCAAACTTGTTTTTCGTTGAAATATTACTATACGTATTATCATTTACTGTTTTGTAATTTACCAAACCTTATTTTAATTAAAAGATACAATAAACATAACAATATTAGGAATACGCCCTTTACAGAATATTACAGTTCTGTGAAGTGGTATCAGATAACATTTAGCTTCCTATGTGGTTATTAAATCTACCAGAAATTTGATCTGCATACTCTTGTTTAATACGTTAATTTAATATAAACTATACCTTGTTTAAAGATGAGTCAATAAAATACCAAATCACTGTTTAATATAGAATGGGTCTTGTCTTGACATAAACACGCCCTTTA